CATCCAGAAACAAAAAATGTCCCAAGAAAAAGAGTAAATTGGCCTATTGATATATCATATCACCAACATGATTAAAATTTCATAAATCTTCCTGTTTTTTTTTTCTGCTGTTCTCTACAGACACAAAACACAAATAAATGATCTTTTTGTAGTACTAATCCGATTGAAAATTAAAGCCATCTTTGGAGCTGGAGTGTAGCTCTCTCCTTCTCTAAACCTAAGCATGCTTGTTAAAGTAAAATCCAAAAATTTCTTTCTCATGTCAGAAGAGCCACCTGGGCCGGGTGGTGGTGGCACACGCATTTAATCCCAGCACTCAGGAGGCAGAGCCAGGCGGATCTCTGTGAGTCGAGGCCAGCCTGGGCTACCAAGTGAGTTCCAGGAAAGGCGCAAAGCTACACAGAGAAACCCTGTCTCGAGAGGGAAAAAAAAAAAAAAAAAAAAAAAAAAAAGAACCACCTGGTATGGGTCAGAAGAAAAACTAAAATTTAGGGACTATTCTATTGCCACTAATTTCATAATTGTTTGGTTTGATTTTGACTCTTTAATACTTTGAATGTATAAATATTATCTCAAAATTTAGAAGATTTATATACTTTAACTTTTGTCATGATATTAATGATCATATAGAGTACTAATTCTAGAAAAAAAGTTTTATCTAGCTTCCTGTACATGATCTTGTTTGAGTCTCCTATCAGTTATCTAGGAATTAAATTTTTATACTCTGAATGTATGTTACAAATTATGGTCCTTCAACCTCTTCAAGATCTGCTGCATAGGGCATTTAAAATGTTTTTCTGCAGTGAACCATGACCATGACTAATAGCAATCTTTTAAGTCTCCAAAAGGAGAATGGGGCCCTACAACGATGATTCCACCTGCACTATGATATCGCCACTAAGCTGACAAACACTCCCTAAAGATCAGCTTTGGACTACAAACTGCTCAGGACAATTCTGAGATGAGATGATCTAGCCTCACAGACTACTCTAGCCAGTACTTGAGACAAGCCCTGCACTTTGGCATTATGCAGAGACTGGATAACAAATGATACAGCTACCTCTCCTAGGACCGGACAATTAACCCCAATTTTTCTTTTCAGGATCCCCTAAAGATGTTGTCCCCAGACAGCAGGAAGTAATTTTAAGAACACAATGCCCACATTCCCAAGAGGTAGGGAGGGTGGTTTTTGATTATTCAGTGGGTTATGGATAGTTGTCATTGTTTAGGGTGGTTGGTTACAAGTTATTATTGGTAATAGTCAGGAAAAAAGTTGTACCAAGGAGTTCAGATTCAGGGTTCTTGTTTTGAAAAGAAAAAAGGGGGATATAGATATGAAAGGATATAAAGGCAGATTATTGAATCTAACTGAAAAGAAAAAGGGGGTGATATAGAAATAGGATAAAAAGGTAGATTACTGAATCTACTTTTAAACCAAAAGAGCAAGTAATAGTCTTAAATATTTTACATTGATATAGATCTTTGTTTACTGATACAAATTTAAGGTCATTTTTGTTAGAACATACTGTATACACATTTCTAGTTTTGTTCAAGGTATTGTACCTATACAGCTCATTTAATAGTCCTTGAAAGTTATTATTACCAACTATTTAGAATTAGGAAATGCAGGTTAGTAATCAGTAACATACAATCGAACTTGTAGTCATATTAGGTATGTTTTCAAGGTCAGAGATATATTTTTAATAGACAAGTCATCTTCAAACACTTCAGAGATCTACAAACTATGGTATCTAAGATGTTTTAATAACATTGGTTCTTTTTTTCATGACAATGAGACATGTCTGCTCCTGGCAGCACCAATCTACTTCAGAAAAGATGAGCAAAGGAACTCCCCAAGGAATTCACTTTCTTTGTAGCAAAAGTTAGCCACTGGGCAGGAAAGTGCTGGTCTCAACTGCTGACAGTATGCTGTCCAAATTGGACAAGCATGACACAAGTGACTGCCAAATCTTGCCAAGACAAGGCAGGACAGTCCTTCAAAAATTCTGTTTCATACCAGTCTGTCTTATATTCTAGGCCTGTAGGCTGAAGATTGATGCCCCAGCATTACAGAGGAAACTTGGTTGACTGTCCAGGCAGCCAGCCTTTTCTGTCATCTCATTTTTTTTGGAAGTCACCTGCTTGTACTTCCTGGTTACTCAGGTAATATTTCCTTCTCTGGTCTATGATGGAGTTGAAGACGTTATAGTTATAGTTTCCTTTTGTTAGCAGACTCAGAAAAGAAACTCATTAAAAGGGTGTAAAGTGTATAGCACTGAGAGACGTTAAAGATAGTTTGGTAATGCAAGTTAGACTAGAAAGTAGGTAAAACCTTCTGGACTCACCAAAATAGCATAGACAATGGAGTATTTTCTCTGAATTTGTCAAATGTTTATGGACTAAGGCATTGTTGATGTAGTTATTGCCTGTATATATTGTATATAGTTATTGTACTTACTGCATATAGTTTTTTCTTATTAGTTATAACCTTTTTAAATTTTAGACAAAAAGAGGGAAATGTGATATTTTGTTTGTCCTCTAACAACTAAAGCTTGCCTGAAGATCAGAAAGTGTAGCTAACCATTAGCTAAGCATAGAGGTCTGTATAGACAACAGACAGGCAGTGTGATATGGCTGGGCAGAGAGAGTAAGTGATAAGGATGGAGACAGCTCAGCTCTTTCTCAGTCCAAGTCATCGTGGAGGTAAGAGGTGACCTTGGCTGGCTCCTTTACTTCTCTGATCTTTCAGCATTTACCCCTATATCTGACTCTGGGTTTTTATTAAGAGCAACTAAAATTCGTGTTACACAGCTCAGCAGATTTCATGCCCCATTGATTCTGAGGGTAAAGGACTTGTTGCTGAGCATAATAATCTGATTTTAATCCTTGGCACCTATATGGTAGGAGAGAAGTGACTCCCATACCTTGTCTTCCAACCTCCACATGCACAAATGTATGTGAACACACACATATCTCCCCCCCTCAAAATAAATGTATAATAAAAAAATTAAAGAAAATTAAGCATTGGGCATTTGTGACACATCATGTCTTTAATTTCAGCACCAGGTAGGCAGAGGCAGGCAGACCTCTGAATCTGAGGCCAGACAAGTCTACTTAAGAGTTCTGGGTTATATAGAGAGAGACCTTGTCTCAAAAAAAGAATGAACAGAAACTCTTTTTTAGAAAATGCAGTCTGGTAGATGGCTGTGAACTAAGGTCACCTCACAGTATCTCATGCCTGTTCCTCAGCACCCATTTCCTTCACAATAGCTTATGGCTTTGGTAAGTATTTCACCATGTTATCACCTGCATTTCCTTATTTGACCGAGGACAGACGTAGGTCTTATACATTTTACACTTGCACAAACATTTGGCTCCCAGAATGTAGGGATATTTTCACTATCTTTTAAACAAGAAAATACTGCTGGGTGTCCTGGTGTATGTCTTTAACCCCAGCAACTGGAAGGCAGAGGTATGTGTATTTCTGACTTTGTGGCCAGCCTGGTCTAAAGAGCTCCAGGACAGCCAGGGCTATAGAGAGACCCTGTCTTAAAAAACAAGCAAACCAAGCAACAACTACACCACAAAAATAAAATACTGTTTTAGTCACACTTTCTGGCTGTGTGACTATGTCAGTCTATTTTATTCCCTTCCAAGTTTATTTTAAGTCAGGGATTAGGTTACTGACGCTTATTTGGCCTAGAGACTTCTGGCCTGTCCTTCCCTCATGGTTTCTCAGTCATCTTCCAAAGCCCGAGAGCAACTTTTGTGGTCTCAGCTGATTTCGCATGGACCTTGAACACACTTCTCCATGTTACCAAAACCTGAGATATGTTAATCACAACTGTTCAATGTATTGTTGCCAATCCTGGGTAGCATGAGGTGGCTATCAGCTGGGGTGACATGACAAAGCCCAGTATCCTGGCAACTCACCATGTCTGGTCTTTGCAGTATTGTGGTCTTCATCTGTAATGTAAGGAGCTTCTCCAGCACCTCAGAGCTTCATCACACCTAACCCCCTTCTAGTCAGCAACCTCCTAACATGGAAAACCTACACATCTGCATCTGCATGTCTGCTCACTCTCTAGAACAGTCTGTGGTTCAAGACTCCTTTGGCAAACCTGTCTCCAAAAACATTTACATTATGACTCATAACAGTATCAAAATTATACTTATGAAGTAGCAATGAACAAAATTTTATGGTTGGAGGTCACCACAACATGAGGAACTATATTAAAAGAGTCACAACATTAGGGAGTTTGAGAACCACTGTGTAGAACAATTTGCTCTTATTCTTCTGAATTTGTTAAGTTTTGCCAGATACAAGACTTGAGACTGAGTATAACAACACATGCTTGTTACTTTAGCCTTAGAAGGCTGAAGGAGGGGATCATGGGTTTAAGACCAGTTTAGGCTACATAATAAGACTGTCTCTAACAGTAATATACTGTGTACTTTAAAAACAGTTAAAAAAACGTTAAGTGATAAAATGAGGTGAGCGTATGAGCCCTATCTAATCATTTCATATTATACATGTATCAAAACATTATATTGTATTTCATAAACACATGTAATTATATGCCACTTAAAACTAGTGGGGCTGGCAAGATGGCTGTGTTAAAAGTAGCCAGCCTGACAACCTGATTTTAATCCCTAAAACCAACACTGTAGAAGGAAAGAATGGACTCCTCCAAGTTGTTCTCTGACCTCTAACATGTATCGCATCTAACACACACACACACACACACACACACACACACACACACACACACACACACACACACACCCAAACCCCCTAAAACCTCCAAAACCCAATTATCCCATAAGCTAGATTCAAATACATATACCTGATGGGAAGCTGATGGAAAAAAATCTATGTATCCTTAAAACCAGAAGGCCTCAGCAGCACCTGTTAGCCTTTTCATACTGTACAATGACACCCTGAGCCAGTCTTTAGTCCCAAACATTTCTCAACACATTACAAAAAGAAGTCCCACCTATACACACTGAACTAAAATTTATTTTCAAAAGCTAAAGAAAGCTTTATACATCCTTTATAAAACAAATATTCCAGACTTGGAATTAAGCAATGAGTGTTCAATATTATAAAGCTGTTTATAAGAGTAGTTTAAGTAGTGGTAACATTTAACCATGTAAAAATGTCACAGAATTCAAATCATGACTTGGATCTTCAATGATTCAAGTACTACGGTGTCAATAAGGGTTTGGTCAATTTTAAGATTAAATTCCGTAGTGTCCGTGAGTCTTTAATTACCACTTTCCATCATTTCACGGTAGGATAGCTGGCAGCAGTGGCAATTCCACAGTGGTTGTTCCTGTCTTTGGCTATATGGAAGAAGCCTTCCATGCCCCAATCAGGACCCCAGCTGAAAGAGATTCAAGGAAATAGAGTGATTAATAATTAACACTTAGTTAGCTCTGAGTGCTCCAAGATCTCCACGTAAACTATACAGGGCACTCACTCCTGTCACTCTAACTGTGGAAGCTACAGGTAGATGCGGTGCTTTCCTCTAGCAGTCTTTTACTTTTTTGAGACAGGATCTCTCACTGAACCTGGAACTGACATCCCCCCAACCACCCAGCACTGGGGGTACAGTGTTATAGTAGATGGCTTATATGTGGGTGCTGGGGAGCCAAACACAGGTCCTCATGACCCAGCGGCAAGTACTTTATCCATACAGTCATTGCCTCAGCCCCTCACTTATTTTGAGACAGGGTTCTGTGTAGCCAAGGTTAGCCTCATTAATTCTCTAAAAGAGGATGCCCTTGAATTGTTGGATCTCCTTCCTCCATCAGTGTTGGGATACAGGCACACCCACCACACTAGGTTTTACGTGGTGCTGGAGACTGAACCCAGGCTTCTGCATATTCTAGGCAAGCATTTTGCCAACTGGGTTACATCCTTAGTACCCTCTTAACTTTTAAAAGGAAAATGAGGCAAACTAGGATTTTAATAGAATGCTGTGTCTCCACATTCAATGTTATGCTATATCTCAATGAAAAATAACTAGCTGTGAGACTTAATTCTGACAGGCTTTAAGGCTGCTGAGAGCTGAGAACAAAATGTAGATAACACATGTGCTAAGGTTTCTGCTGGCCATCTCTTGCTGAAAACTAGAAAAAGAAAAGCAGGCTGAAATCACACAGGTCTCACAGCCTTATTTTAATTTTGGGGCCAAATTTGGAAATTCAATATTACAAGTAAGTATGAATCTCCCCAACAAGCTTAGTTCAGAATCTTAAACACAAATCCTTCACTCTAAATGTGAGAAAGACTTCCAGGATTTTAAAATTTGACTGGCATCGAAATATTGATTCCCCACCCCCCTAAGAACTCTCTTTTCAATTTAAAATAAAACATTTAGAATCTTTTACCTGTTCTTGGCAATCCAAAATCTATTCTTATTTGAATCTGTTCCTTCAAATCCATAGCCAATCACCAGAACCCCGTGGTCAAGCTCCTTGCTGCTGCAATTCGGTTCATAGTAAATGCCTGGCAGTTAAATGAACACTGAGTGAGAGGTTCCAATCACCATAGGACAGTGACCCACCCTGTCCCCCACAATGTCACAGATCCCAAATTCTGTAGAAGACACTAGTTAAAAAATGGTAGTGGTGATGCTGGGTAAGGTGGTGCATGCCTTACTCCCAGCATAGCAGAGACAGGTCTTTGAGGCCAGCCTGGTCTACATGAAGAGTTCTAGGCCAGCCAGGGTGACAATAATAAAATCCCATCTCAAATACTGAGTCCAAGCTGCTCTCCAACTTGCTATATAGCCAAGGATGGGCTTGATTGCTGTGGGATGTTCTGTATGTCAAATGTGTTGCTCTGATAGGTTAATAAATAAAGCACTGATTGGCCAGTGGCCAGGCAGGAAGTATAGGTGGGACAAGCAGAGAGGAGAATTCTGGGAAGTGGAAGGCTGAGTCAGATAGACGTTGCCAGCCACCGCCATGAGAAGATGTTAAGATACCGGTAAGCCACGAATCATGTGGCAAGGTCTAGACTAATAGAAATGGGTTAATTTAAGATAGAAGAAATAGACAAGAAGCCTGCCACGGCCATACAGTTTGTAAGCAATGTAAGTCTTTGTGTGTTTACTTGGTTGGAGCTGAACGCCTGTGAAACTGGCGGCTGAGAGAGATTTGTCCTGACTGTGGGCCAGGCAGGAAAACTCTAGCTACACTTGATTGCTTGATTTTCCTGCCTCTGCCTCCTGAGTGCTGGGATTACATAAATGAACTACAACACCTGGCTCATGTGGTGCTGGGACTAAACCAGGGCTTCAAGAATGCTAGGAAACACTATTGACTGAACTACATTCTTATCTCAATTAAAAAAATTCTATTGTTTTAAAGCCTATGGTGACAGGATCCATTTTCCATCTAGTCCCTGATGTATGAGCTGGCTCTTTAGAACCTATTCCCCATGTTGGGATGTCCTGTGCAGCCTTGATGCAGGGGGAAGCTTGGTCCTGCTACAACTTGATATGCTTTGTGGATTCCCAAGGGAGACTTTACCCCATCTGAATGGAGAGGGAGGAGGAGTGGATGTGGGGGTAAGAAGGGAGGTGAGGGAAGAAAATGGGAGGAGAGGAGGGAGGGAAAACTGGTTAGTATGTAAAATAAAAAAGGAAAAAAAAGATTAAAAAAATGTGTTTCTCAAAGATAAGAAAAAAAAAAAAAAACCTTTAATGCCAAACAACTATCCCACTCTAATCCCAGCATGGGAAGAAATTTTGAGAACCACATATCTTGTGTTAGATATCTTGGTCTTAACATTGGTATTGGTATGCTTATCTACTAGCATACCAATTACCATAACCCCTGCTACTCTTAAATCTAAAATAAAGACAAAGCTTATCAATGAGCAAGCTTTCTCTCCCCTCCCCGCTACAACTGAACAACAGGCCCCTTAAAGTCCTAATTATAGCAGTAAGAAGTCTTCTGGAGAAAGTTAGGTAAATTAGGTTCTATCTATAGAAGCAATTCACAATATTCAAAGAAATATTCAGATGGTAAAACGGCTCAATCAGTAAAGGTGCTTGTTAAGAAGGCTCAGGGCTGAGTCGGGCGGTGGTGGCTCACACCTTTAATCCCAGCACTTGGGAGGCAGAGGCAGGTGGATCTCTGTGAGTTTGGATCTCTGAGTTCGAGGCCAGCCTGGTCTACAAAGTGAGTTCCAGGAAAGGCGCAAAGCTACACAGAGAAACCCTGTCTCGAAAAAAAACAAACAAAACAAAACAAAACAAAAAAAAGAAGGCTCAGGGCCTGAGTTTGATTCTGAGGCCACACACAGTAAAAAGAACTGACTCCTGCAAGTTGTCCTCTAACCCCATATGCATTCATAGCACAGACACATTCATCCCCCAAGAGGGTGCTGGAGAGATGGCTCAGCAGTTAAAGGTATTCCATGCTCTGTAGGGAACCTAGTACCCATATTAGGTGGCTTACAATTAATTGCCTCTTAGTCCAGATCCAGGGGATCTGACGCTTCAGGACTCTGAGGGTACTTGCACTTACATGCACACCCCCAACATAATTAAATAAGAGAAACCTTGAAAATGCCTAACCAGTCAAATAGAAACATCTGCCCATTAAATGCAGACTCAAAATTCCAACAGTCTTAGGAAGCAAAACTCATCACAAAGGCAGGGTGGCACTAATTCTAACAATTACCTTTACTGTAGAACTGGAAAGACGGATGGCTGGCATCTATAGCGACAGCAATAGGCCCCACAAGTGCCACAGCCTTCATAAGGGCCTTCTCCAGCTGAGGGATATCCACGTAGCCTGTGTCATTAGCTGCAGAAAACTCAGGTCTGTACTTACAGGTTCCATCCTTTGAAAGTTAAAGGAGAGACTTGATCATTAACTGTTTACTTTTTAGAACACGAGTTCTAGAAACAAAACACTGTGGTGTGCAGCTCACAATGTCAGGTCAGTACTCAACCATCCCCGAAACAGAACGCTGTTAGTTAGTCACCCACAAAGAACAAACTCTAAAAATCGGTCTGGTAATGTTTCCTTTTCTGAAAACAAAGATGAAATAAATCAATTACCTTTCCTTCATAGGGATAGGACTCCTCTGAATCCAGACCTTTGTTGTTAAGAACATACTGGAAGGCATAATCCATCAGGCCACCATTGCAGCCCTGATTGCCTTCAGCCTGAGAACAGTCCACAAGGTTCTGCTCACTCAGTGAGGTGAGTATGCCAATCTTAAGGCACATCTGTCCTTCTAGAGCCCCAGTGGCGCTAAAAGCCCAACAAGAACCACATTGGCCCTGAAAAGAGAAAGAGGTCAGTGGTTTTACAAGACAAAGACAGCCAACAGCTTTTACATATGCATGCCTTAAAAATAGTAAACAGGAAGCTGGGTGTGGCAATATATGCCTGAAATCCACCTGGGAGATTAAGGCAAGAGGATTCTGAGTTCAAGGCCAGGCTGGACTCTATAGTGAGACCCTGTTTCATTCATGCTCCAAAGGTGTAGTACACCAAGAAACAGATCAGAATACTGCGTGGGGTCAAGGCTAACGCATAGAGAAGAGAGAGAGGGTCTAACAGGGCCGGGCCCCTCTCAGGAGCTACTGGCAGGTGATGGCTACTGGGGGAGGGAAATCATCTTCAGTGACGTCAGAGTGGTCCATGCTCTAGTGGGTGGACAGCTATGTCACACCCTGTGCATGGCAGGCTGGGTGGCCTTGGTTAAACTCCATGGGCTACAGAACAAAAAGACTTGAGGGTGGGATGGGGACTCGTTGGGGGTGTTGGTGTTGGTATGGTTGACAAGGGGATGTCAGGGGCTGAGTGTATAAAACCTCCAAGGAATAATAATAAAGAACTTGCATATCACACTGCATTATAGCAAAGCAAACTCCCAATTCCTCCATGGCCTTTATGCAGAAGGTATGAACCAGGCATGGTCACACCTGATACTTTAGGGGGAAGGGGTAGGTATGTATGTATGCCAGAGGCCAACCCTGGGTACTGCCTCAGTCACTATCTACCTTGTTTTCTGAGACAGGCTGTCTTTATTTTATTTAGCTGGAACTCATTGATTTGACCAGGCTGGTGGGCCAGTAAGCCCTGGGAACCTATCTGTCTGTCTTGCCTCCTGCTCACTGGCATTATAAGAGCTACCACATTGACTTTCTCTTCCAAGTGCGGACTCTGGGGATCAACCTCAGGTCCTCATGCTCATGCTCGTACAACTGAGACTTCTCCTAGCCCTCATACCTGATTCTTTATGGGAGTCACACAACCTTTATCTCTCCAGTCCACAGACTTGGGGACCTGAAGCAGCAGAGGCTCCTGAAATACCTTCCCCTTCCTGTGCTTCTGGTGCTTATAGCCATTCACCAACTGCCGGAACTCCTCATTGGTCTTTCAAGAAATGCAAACAAAAAGTTGAAAAGGTGAGATAGCTTTGTAAAAAGAAAATGGAGAAGGTACAGAGAGTCTGCATCATGTCACACTCACCATGTCACCAAAGGCATTCATCTCCATGGTGAAGCCATGCTTCCCCTCACTGTATTCCCCATTGTGCAGCTGGATCATTTTCATATTCTTCTCCCACACTGCTCTCCTCCATTCTTCCTCATTCTAGAAGCAAACATGGAACTGGCAGTTTTTATTTTTGTTAAAAATCCAGGTATGCTGACACATGTCTTTACTCTCAGCACTGGGGAGGCAGAGGCAAGTGAATCTCTGAGTTCGAGGCTGGTCTCCAGTGAGTTTCAGGACAGTAAGAGTTAATAGTGAGACCCTGTCTCCCCCCAAAAGGGGGTTGGCTAGGGCCCTGAAGAGATGGCTCAGTGGTTAAAACCCCTTGTTCTCGTGGAGGACCCAGGTTCAATTCTCAGCATCACTTATAGATCACAAGCGTTCATAACTCTAGTTCAAGGATACACATGATACACAGACATAAATGCAAGCAAAACACTCATACACACATATATACATATACATATTAAAATAAAAAAGCCTTTAAAAAATCCAATCCTCCTGACCAAGTGGACCTACTGTAACAGGGGTAGCTGTACACTCTGGAAAGCATTCCTCCTCCCCAAAGCACACAACAGAGATATCTGTGCTCTATTCTGTTCGCAATGGGTATGTGATTGGACTGTTCCTGCTAAAAGCCCGCTTCTAGAGACTACTCTGGCTATAAACTTCCCAGAGCAAGGAGGACCATTCTCTCCGACGCTGTGAATGTTACAAACCGTGCCATACAGCCTTCTGTGTGTGGACTTCCACTGGTGCCACTGTGCATCAAATGTTTGATTAAATTTTGGAATGCCTAAGGCTGTTCCCAAGCACAGGAGAGCCAGGAGGAGTAAAAGATTCATGGTTCAAATACCTAGGGAAGGAAAAGAAGAGGAAATGAGAATCCAACAAAGTCTTTTTCTTTTATAGACAGGGTCTCATGTAGTTCAGGCTGGCTTTGAACTCTTATTTGGCCCCATCTCTCAAGTGCTGGGAATTTAGTCATGAGCCACCAGCCCAGCAGCAAACCAGTTTATTTAAAATAGTTAAAATCACCTTAACAGAGCAGAAATGTCTTTCCACATGTTAATAAGTGTGGGCGTTGAGTGGAGAAAAACAAGCCAGGAATTAATCTTTGAAAGTTATTCGATTCAGCTGTTGAAATGAAAACTGCCAAGTAAGTGGCATAGGAACTGGGATAAACTCTTTTCCATTACAGTACCATAATAGTCTTGAGTCTCCTCAAAAACTTAAGAGGGCAACTTGGTCCAGGTTATTTACTGACAGTATTTTGTGACTTCAAATGGGGATACAGGAGTCCCTAGAGGTAGGGTGCCATCTCACACTTTAAGTAATGCACAGCTGGAGAACTGACTTTCCAGAACTGAAGCCTCAAGGCGATACCTCCCTGGGTGATCCTGGTTCGGGTTAGGGTCCAGGCTGGGCCGGGCCGGGGGCTTGACGTCCGCTCTGCCTTCGTAGCCACCGCCCACGGGTGTTATGGCGGCACAGGGAGCCCTGGGCCCGTGACCGGCTTGAAGGGGTCCTGCTGCCCCTTCGGGTCCCGTCAGGCCCGGAGTCTCGCGGCCTCACGACGACCCCGCTCGGCAACACGGGCCCGTCCCTCCGGGGAGGCCGAGGGACCACCCCTACCCTGACGTCCCCAGAACCGGTTGCAGATGCTGTGGTCCCCAGACGCTCCATTTTCCTCCCTATACCCGCTCGCGCAGCGTTTAGGCCCGCTGGGGTCACTCACCTGGAGCGGCCAGATACTTACAAGTACTCCGCAGACTCAGCTCCTTGGAGGTCGCCGAGGTCCGAAAATCTGGCGGAGCAGCCCTGGGCTCTGGCTTTAAAGCCTCCCAGGCTGCGGCCCCGGCAGGGCCCGCCCCCGCACCATCATTGGCTGTGCCTGCCTCGGGGCGGAGCCTGCGGGACTCCAGGCGCGTGACGCCGCGGGTCCTAACCTGTCCTGCTGGGTGATCGCCAGGGGCCGAGGAAGAGCTCCTCCCTGGAGGGTGGGTGTCCGTGTGGTGCCTTGGTCCAGTAAGATAGGCTCAGGAACAAAGGTCTGCTGCGGAATATCCACCCAGCCCTCCTTTTTTCAGTCTTAAGAGTTTTAGATTAAAATCTGCGGGGTGGAGAGCTTTTTTTAGCCCACAACAAAGCTGGGTCTTAAGTGGAAGAAGGCAGGCGGGCTTCCATAGAAGTTAGAAAAATCTAGAGATGGGAAAAATAAATCCAATACGATGAAGCTATGGTCAGCACGTAGCTCCTCCTAATGCCGCACTTCCTGCCTTACCTAGTCACGGATTGTTCCTTAGGAGCCTTTCTTTCAAGCCTGCTAGAAATTATTCACGTGGCTGGCGCGTGGGTGTGTGTGTGTGTGTGTGGGGGGGGGGGTGTTGGGTGGTGGCTTTTAAAAAAAAGAAAAGGAGTTGAGAACGATGAAAGCTGTTTTTCCTTCCTTCTACTCTGCGTTATGAATTGTTTTTCTTCATCTTAAAATGCTTCTTCTGGAATTTGATAAATTCGATGGAAATGTATATATATATTTGTTTTAGATAGGGTTTATAACGTTTCACTATGTAGACTAGGCTGGATTTGAACTCACAGAGATACTCCTGACTGCTTCTCAAATATTGGGATTAAAGGTATGAAACATTACACCCCCCCAACACCCTCAAGAAATTTTGATGCTATCCACTTCAGTTTCTCCCAGCCTCCCCTCAGTCAAGAGTATATTTAATATGAAGGTTGTAGTTGTATAGCTTGAAGAAATTCTTGGATAGAGGAAAAAAATACAGATATAAGTAAGGATTGAAGGACAATAATTCAGAAAAGTGTAATTTTTTTAGTCAGATAAGAACTTTTTCTATTGGCTATTCTGTTTTGAAGTTCATTGAGTTGTATAATCTTTCATTGAGTTAATTTCAATATGTGATTTTTTTTATTTGCAATGTCTTTTATAATGAACTTTAACATAGTATTTCTATTTTTATTTATTTATTTGGTTTTTTTCAAGATAGGGTTTCTCTGTGTAACAGCTCTGGCTGTCCTGGAACTTTCTTTGCAGACCAGGCTGGCCTTGAACTCACAAAGACCTGCCTGCCTCTGGCCCCAGGTGCTGGGATTAAAGGCGTGCACACCATCACCTGGCTAAAATAGTATTTAAAAAAAATAATTTTGCCAGGCAATGGTGATGCACACCTTTAATCCTAGTACTTGGGAGACAGAAACAGGGGGATCTCTGAGTTCAAGGCCAGCCTAGTCTATAGAGTGAGTTCCACAGCAGGCAGGGATACACAGAGAGACCCTGTGTTGAAAAACAAAAACAAACCAAAAACAAAACCAAGAAAAAATTTTAAAAGTCATATTCAGGGCTTGGTGAGATTGCTCAGTATTATGGTTGCCTGAAGCCAAGCCTAAGAACCTGAATTGAATCTCAGAGATCTATATGGTGGAAAAAAGAGATCTGACTCCCTAAAGTTGTCCTCTGGCCTCCATAGGGGTTTTGGCACATGCACATATACAAAAAATGAGTTTTTAAAAGGTGTCTTTAAAAAACTTTTAAAAAAGCATATTCATGCTGGCCCTGGTGGCAAATTCCAGCACTCTGGAGGCAGAACCAAGTGGATCTTTATGATTTTGAGGTCAGCCTAGTCTACATAGTGAGGTCCAGCCAAGGCTACATAGTGAGACCTATTTCATAAACAACAACAAAAAGCATATTCGTTTCAGAAAAAAATTAGGAAAATAAACATTTCTTGTTTTCCCCATGGTCCTTTTCTAGTTTTGTTTTTTAAACAAGAATGACGTGATGCCTCAGCTTTTCCGGAGGAATCTGAATCCGTTCCCAGGACCCAAACTGTGGTTCATAACTACCTGTAACTCTGAGTCCCAGGGGGGAATGATGCCCTCTCCTGGCTTCTACAAGCATACACACACACAAATGGACTTACTGTGCTTATGGGTAAACGCTTAGTGAAAAACTAAATTGAAGGAGATAGATATATTTTGTGTCTCAATTTAAAAACAACCAAGAGAAAAGGCCAGGCTTTCTAGAAACAGGCAATTTTTTTTTTTTTTGGTTTTTCGAGACAGGGTTTCTCTGTGTAGCTTTGCGCCTTTCCTGGATCTGGCTCTGTAGACCAGGCTGGCCTCAAACTCACAGAGATCCGCCTAGCTCTGCCTCCGGAGTGCTGAGATTAAAGGCATGTGCCACCACCGCCCGGCTGGTTTGTTTGTTTTTTGAGAGAGTCTTACTATATGTAGTCCAACTTGACCTCAGTCTGAAAATCTTCCTGCTTCAACCTTTGGACTGCTGGAGTTACAAGTATGTGCCAATGAATTCAGCTGGAATAAATTCTGTTGTTGATGGAACATGGTCTTGGGCAAGACTACTAAGTTACATTTTCATGCCACCTCTTTTATTTTGAAATGGTCTCTCTGTGTTGCCCAGGCTGGCTTTGAACTTGTGATCCTCCTGCCTCAGCCTCTTGAGTAGCTGGGATTCTAGGATGGAGCCACCAGACCAGGATTCAAACAAGTGTTGTGTATTTGTTTGGTTTGGTTTTGTTTTTCAAGACTGTTTCTCTGTGTAGCCCTGGCTGTCCTGGAACTAGCTCAGTAGACCAAGTTGGCCTCAGATTCAGAGATCTGCCTCCCTTTGCCTCCTGAGTGCTGGCTGGGGTTAAAGGCGTGCGTCATCATGACCAGCCAATTTATTGAAATTTTTATTGACATCCTTTGACTGCTAGAGAGGCTGTTCTAGAAGGTCTCAGCTGATTAAAAAAAAGTACCTCCTAAACCCAAATTAATCACAGTTTTCTTTTTTATTTATTTATTTTTTTAAGTAGCTGGATGGTAGTGGTACATGCCTTTCATCCCAGCACTTGGGAGGCAGAAGCAGGTGGATCTCTAAGAGTTCATGGCCAGGCTGGTCTACAGAGTGAGTTCCAGGGCAACCAATGCTACAGAGAAACCCTATCTCAGGGATTTTTTTTTTTTAAAGCTCTTTCTGATGGCAATAATCAGTTTTCAAAACAGTCATTCATGGATGGGAATAAGTACCCACCACCTCTAGCTGGGGTGGGGAGCAGATTTAGAACTTGCTATATAACAAGGAGACAATGCAAAGGAAGAGAAGATGGTGCTTTGGGGTGAGGGTGGGGACCCAGTTGGGTATGCCCTGACTAATTGGAGGCTGTCACTTGGATGCTGGGGGAGGAGTGACCAGAAATGGAACATCCTTGTGGTTGACTTGGGGACTTGGATTTGGAGAACATACCTGGTGTTGTCTGGTTCATCTGGGGTGGGAAGTAGAGGGAAAAAAATGAAGTCATCAGCTATTGAGTAAGTTTTGAGATTCAGAGCTATTCACCTAGGCAATGGTTTCTTTTCTTCTTTGGGTCAGAGTTCTATGCTACTTAGTTATTCCATTGTATGTTTGTTTACTCAGTCTATCACAAGCAATCTAAGTTATTTTAACACGTGGGTTTTACAGCTGCCCTTGGGCCACAGCTCACAAGATTGCACTGGGCGGGAAAAACCTGCCTCTGCTTTAAGCTCTACACCTTGAGCAACAGATTGGCAACAGGTCAAGCAGAAGTGCCCGAGAGAATGGCATCCCCTTGCCTTTTGGTGTGTGATATGGTTACTCTGAAGAAAGCATCAGGTCCTTTTATGGCCTCCAAATCTAACTTAAGCCAAAGAATATTGAATATGGGAGACACCCACTAAATCTTGATGAATGCTAATTATTAAAACAGACATGTTTTAGTCATGTGGCTGAGCCTTAGCTCCATTTTTTGATAAAATACAGTTGGCTGAACTTCCCAACTCCTATTTTCTTGACATGTTTAATGCAGTGGTATTCAAGACAGTGATGCCACTTTATATTGATCTCCAATGTAACTACCCTTCCAAATTTTTAAAATTCATGAAGCCGAGGATTATTCTTTAAAAACACTATCCAAACTGGGGATGTAGCTCAGTTGGTAGAGTGCTTGTCTAGCAAGCATGCTTGGAGCCCTGGGTTTGATCTTAGTACTGCATAAACTGGCATAGTGGTACATGCCTGGAATCTCAGCTCTCAGGACTGGAGGCAGGAGGATGAGGTATTCAGTGTCTTCCTTTGCTACACATTAAGCTCAAGGCCAGCTTGGGATATAAAAGAAATAGAGAATGAAAGAAACAATATGTAGTTGTCCCCCCCCCCCCACCCCCCATCCCTCCACACACTGTGCAGACCGGAACTGTATTTATTATCTCACAGAAATGGAGGTCAGGAGTCTGAAGTTGTCCTCACTGGGCTGAAAACGAGGTGTCAGCAGCCCCTGCTGCTCCTTTGGCTGACAGAGCACCACTCTAATCTCTGTGATAACACTGTTTTCTTCTATATGTGTCCTATCTTTCTCTGTCTTTGTTCTCCACAGACACAGTGTCTGCCTTTGGGACTCAAACAGGTAATCATTCAGGGACAATCCTTCCTTCCCAAGATCCTTAACAACATTTGCAAAGACTTTGCTGTAGAAGAGAAGTTTCTGATTGCAGGAATTAACATTTCATATCTTTGGCAATTCATTCTGTCACTTGTAGCCTAAGTAAAAGTACCCTCCCTTCTTCTCTCTTTCCCTCCCTCCCTTCCTTCATTGACAGGGCCTCTTGTACCCCAAGCTGTCCACATATAGCAGAACTGATCTTCCTGCCTCTACCACCAAATGCTGGAAAGATAGGTGTTTGCCATCATGTCTGGTTTATGTGGTTTAGGCATTCAGCCCTAGGCTTCATGAATGCTAGGCAAGCACTCTACTAAACTATAATCCCAGCCCTAGGGTCAGTTTCTCAACAAGTCTGTAGAACACTCTGTGCTCCCTATTAGTTGGGGCTGTTCATGCTGGGTGGTGG